TGGTGGGGTTTAATATACAGGTGGGCACCTTGTTTACCTGCCTTCGTAACTTAGTAGCATAACTGCGCTCTTTAGCTCCGGATGCACCTTCTCCACAACCCACACGCGTTGCACCAAGTGATGTTGCGCAATCATTAACACAGGTCAGCGGTATCTCAAAACACACGTAAGTCCCGTCGGCAATGGCACGTCCGCCGTTTCGCAGTTGAGCAAGTGGTCTCTGTGTCTTATCTAGTGTCCACCAGATTCATCTTCAGATCGTGCAGCTTCAGACCGTTTGAGTAAGACGGTCCATTGCTGAGACTGAGAGACAAACAGCTTTTGCCAGGTCTTAATTATCTCTGCCGTCGGTGCGCAGGGAGCGCCTGAGCAATCGTTGAGTAGCGTCTTCAGCTGCTTAAATCACGGTCCATACCTTGCCCTAAAGGATTTAATGCGTTCTTTGTTTTGGGGGCGTTCGGCGTACCACGCTACCTGCTTCGGCTTTGCAGTCCACCATGCCATTTTATGCAACAGAGAGCTCGTTTCAGTCGCTCTCGGAGTTTAAGAAACTTTATATTCCTCCGCAAGTCACTGCGGTCTGCGACATGTGCAGCAAAGGCCGCATCCTTTTCAGACACCAACGCGTTAACTGTCTCACTGTTATCAGAACAATCAGACCGCCATCAGTTTGCGAACCTGATAGTCTCCTCGGCAGCAGCTGTCACCTGGTCACGACTGGAGTGCAACAGGTCGCCAAACGTAGCTATGCCATACATAATTAGGCGCGCACCCATCACCGTCTTCAGCTCCATCCGTTTCTCCGCAGTACCGAGTAAGAGATGTTAAATTAACGCTGACGCACGGCGGGAGTGCAATACATATCTTTAAGCAAATATGTACAGTTTGGTCCGCACTAACTTGTGAGTTGTACCAACATCAGCTCCAAGCAGTACAATTGTCATGCGCACTACGTAGATCACACTAACATACGATGACATAGTCGCGCAGGTGCGCTTGACCATTTCTTGGGTGTGTCCAAGTTGATAAGTCAGACACTCAGCGCAAACGGAGTGTTGGTGGTTGTTGGCCATAAGTGGCACGTTCTGAGAGCAGCCTGTCACGGTTCGCATTCGCTGAACCAATGTATGCTAACGGATGACGTTTGTCCAAACGGATGCATCACACCAAACCTGCGCGTTGAAATCACCCAACAGAAATAGGCGGTCGCTCCAAGACATAGAACGAATCACTGCGCACAGCCGAGTAGGGAATTTATCGTGCTTGTCATCGGGATAACACTCGGTTGGACAGTACGTGCCTATAAAAGTATCAAACTTGCCTCTTCCTAGTCCTAGGCGAACAGTCATCAGTTGAGCACTTATTCCCGTTAGTTCATCCACCAGCTGGCTTGTTAGGTGATCAGATATGGCAAATCCGAACCCTTGTTCAAGTGGTGTTGATGTGGCGTTGCTCCCACGGTAGAAGGTGGAGCCAACACCTGCACCCTGCAACTTCCCTCGCTCAGCTAGCCGAGGCTCACTAAGCGCCGCGGCCTCACTATTAAGCAGGCCAGTTCCAAGGCCGCCAGTGCAGTGCGTCGTTTGGGGCGCTCACTCGAGTTCCTGTAGAGTAGTGTGCTCATGTTGCCCTCCAGGTTGGGGGTTTGAATGGCCATAACGTCCATTTCTGTAAAACTAACTACTTGCCGCCTTCCCGCTGCCTTGCGGAGAGGCCTTTGCGCCGAACGCTTTTGGATGACGTCCGTAATCATCCAATAGTTTAAGGCTGGGCGCCCCGGCAGTATTCCAGCCACCTACAACCATGGCTTTTACTTCACACACACTTCATCATGCAACGGCCGTCGCGCGGAGTAGCAAGGATCTCTATCTGCTGCGTGCAGCAGGGCGGATGAGCGAAAATATGCTGTTGCTGGCGCGAACGGAAGCCCATCGGCTAAAGTAACCTATAAGGCCACGCTGTTCTGGTTCCATGACGACAGTCAACGTTCCCACTCTAAGACAAGTAGGTCAACGGGCTGCACCCGCACGCACCTTGGACTCGCCGGGTATTGCCGTGTATTGTACGTCCGCAACTAGGAACAATGACCCTAATAGTTTTGTAGAATTAACTGCAATCTGCTTCTTCGCTCGTTATTGGTTGCCGGCAACCGGAGACCTTGCTGCAACAAACACAGGTCAAGATGGTACAGGTATCCCTCTTAGCTACAAGGCTGAGCCATCGTTCCTTGTTTGAATGCCGGCGGACAGCCGTTTATATGCAGCCGTTTTATGACATCAGCTAAGGTTGGTTCACGAAGTAGTACAAAACGCTTCTTGTTTGTGATTGCCGCTTATGCTTTCACCGACTGCAGTTCAGATGTCGTCAAGGACACCTTCTATCACGAACTGAACGTCTTACTAGGCAGTGTTACTAGTTCAGATATTATGGTACTTGCTGGGGATATAAACGCACAACGGGGCTCTTCAGAAGCTCAGCTGAGTAGTAATTATGGGCTTAAATCCGAACGGACTGACAACGGTGAGTGACCGCTGCAACTGTATTCACAGCACCAGTAGTTTCTTAGTGGCACTGTTTTAATAAGCAGTGTGCACCGATGGGCTACCTAGGGTCCCCTGTAGCTGGTCGGCGATGGACCCAAATTGAACACATAGCTATAAGTTGCAGATAGGGTGGTATTATCCTGGATTGCAGCCCGGACTGGAATACCTGCGCTGACTCTGATAATGCCCTGTTACGCTGTCTTTTCTCCACGATATTTACGGGGTGGCGCACCAAGCGTCCATTCCAATTGGCAACGGAGAAATTGTCTCAGCCCTTGGTCACGCAAGCCTATCAAAACGATATGCGTAGCGAATTTATGCTGCATTGTTCTAATGACACTGCGCTTCAGCGGAATAGAATCTTGGCTGCCATACACGACTCAGCAGCATCTGCATGTGGTACTACCAATCGTCGCCGCAAGAGTCACTTGATATCCGAGAGGTCGGTGAACCTGCTGAAAACCAGAAGGAACCTCCCAGACGGCTCTGTGCACAAGGTGATCAGACGGGCCATTAGGCGCGAACTACAGCTGAGCCTACGTGCTGACTAGGAAGCCTGGTGGACCACTCGGACTCAAGATTTGGAGGAGGCAGAGGCAGTAGGCGATTACCGCAAGCCCATCCAGCTGATCCACGCCACTGATCTCAGGAAACCAGGCGTCAGTGAGAAAATCAGAGACCGCGCGGGTGCACTGATACACAATAAGGAGTGCGGTATTGCTAGTTGGGCGTAGCACTTTCAAGGAAAATTCGGTGGGACATCTGCTCCGGGACCTCTACCTACTCCGGTGCTGCCGGACGAGCCACTGCCGTTAGTTTAGAGCCTCCGTCAAAGGCCGAGATCCGAAATGCGATCACGGACCTCAAGCATCTTCATGCCACTGGCCCGGATTATTCACCTGTACCGTTTAAGAATGGAGGATGGGGCCTCTGCAAGGCACAGCCTTCCCTATTCGAACGCATCTGGAATGAAGTGCGTGACCCGTCTAATTGTAACAAATCGATTATAGTGGCACTAGCTCAGAAGGGCAGTTGCACAGACTGTTTTATCCACAAGGGTATTAGATTAACGCCAGTTGTGACATAATTACTGGACTGGGTGCTCGTTCGTCGTCTCTCTGTGGAACGGGAAGCCCGGTGTATGGAAGTACAGGCAGGTTTCCGCCCAGGGCATGGCTGCATAGTCCATATATTCACATAGCGGCAGGTTTGGCTCGAGACTTTACAAGACATGGCTCGCAACCAACCCCAGTGGCGCGATTGCTGCCGTCTCCTACACTGCATTGCCTGTTTAAAAAGTGTATTTCGTGCTGAGTTATCTGCGGGGTAATAGCTGATTTATGACGCGTGGAAGTGAAAGCTGCAAGGAATCTGTCCTCGCCGATGCCGCTTTATCTTTGAACGATAGCCAGCTGTTTGTGACGGTATGTTGTCTACACAAGGTGTAGGCGCCTTGACCCTGAATGTTTGCTTAGGGTATAAAGGTTTTCAGATAAGTCCCCCACTATCCCCCTTCTTATTCTTTATTTCGTAGGTCCTCATAGTTGTATGGCAGCGAAGCATCAGTTCAACTGGCTGATGTACTGCTGTTTGAATGGATGAATGGCGCTCGAAACTCTTAATCGTATGTTCACTGATCCACATTTCCCTGGAACGAAGTTCCAGGGCTCACTTATTCGTTGGAGTAAACAAGTTTCCATCCTAATCCAGTCAGAACCCCGACTAGTGTGGCTTCATTGAATGAGTGCGGAGCGCAGACTTACCGGGTTAAATAGCCAAGTCCGATTCAACTTTTCAAGTTAAGATACTGCAAGTGAGGATCAGATCTCTTCGAAGCATCCCGTAGTGCATCGAATGCACACCTGAATTAAGTAGACGTTCGTGGTACGTGTCCCGAAACCAGGTGAAAAATAGGGCATTTGCAGACGAGAACCAGCAAAGCAGGTAACATAAAACGCCAAGTGTGACAGCAACAATAGCATGACATCTACCGGAGATTAGGCAGACTAGTGGTACCTAGCTTCTATTCAGTTAGTTACGTAAAAAAGAAATGATTAAATACGTAGAAAGAGAGCGGTATCAGCAGTACGCCGGTACGCAATACCGGCTGCCGCAAAATCACCACCGGTCGCACGTGGGCTGATATTTCGGGGGTCGCCGTGCTCCCGCGCCATCAGATTAGGTCAAGTTAGTTCCTGAAAACGATACAGGCTTTCGCCTAACTAGCGTCCTGCTTCTTGCACGGTAGGCGAACCAAGTCTAGGGCACTTCGAAGTTACACACGTAGGGGGCAATGGGCTGTTGAAAATCGAGTGACCCTTCTTATCTTGGGAAAGAACACTACTGGCAAAAGCCTGTTAAATGAGCAAGCAATTGTACACAGTCTGCTCAGAGGTGGCTCCTTGCAGAACTGAGTGTAAACCACGATGACGAGCGGGCTATAAAAGACTGATGTGCCTAATGACAATGTGCTTATGTAAGACGTCGGCATATACTCAGTCAGCTCACCAAAAATATTGTATTACAATCGGCATTTAAACGAGGAGCAGCAACGAAGAGACAAGGAGAAAACCAGCCTTGTCATGAGATATCACGAGTCGGTGGATACTGAAGGCAGGCACCAAATGAAATGAAACATGTGCAAAGACCCGTCGACGGTTCCAAAATTATCAATGCCACAGATATACCAGCAGAAAGAAAGACTGAACTGCAAGAATAATGCAGAATGCGATCAATCGTCATCTCGGTGTTTGACGACCCCTCGAGATATAAGGTCAGGTATCTCAACGGCCATCCATGGTCCGAGCCCCAAAGCTATTGCATGGGCTATACCAAATTTTGGAACATTGCGACTCCACAATGGTTTGAAATGTTCAGTGAGACATATTTTTCCACCGCGATACATTTTGGCAGTTTTACCGTCGAGTTCTGGAAGGGCCAACTCTGGATTGGTGCTTGGGTAAGATACCGGAATATCAAAATTCAAGTCAAATTCGTACTTTTTCATATCTTGGATGTGCCTAGTAAGTAGATATCAGAGTGTCTGCAAGTTACCAGCACTTCCCGAACCACCGCGTGCCACTAGAATTAGATTCCACTCGAAACCAATCGTTGTCCGCAGCCTTGTTGTTTTCGACATACTGTATAAGAGCAAGGTACTCCTCCTTTAACCTCTGCACCCACAAATCACCATCCCGCGGTCCAGCTCTTGTATTCAGAAGAGGGATCGATGACAAAGTTTTCCTCGTCGACTCGTCAACCATTGCCGGCAGCGCAACCAGTCGGTCAACTTCCGAGCATCTTTACGAGATCGACCGACTCTCGGCTGGTGGCTAAGGAAAAATGGGCAAGATCCTTAGATGCCGGTAAACGTCTGGATGCTCTTTTTGTTGATTTCAGTAAGGCTTTTGACAAGGTCGTGCATGAGTGGCTTCTCTCCAAACTCCGGCGAATCGGCGTCACTGGCAATTTTCTTTCTTGCGTCTCCGATTTCCTGTACCGTCGCTTCATGCATGTTAAAGTGAACGAAACACTTTCTGTTCAACTTTTCATGACAAGTGGGGGTCTCCCAGGGTTCTGTACTCGGCTCCGAACTCTTCAATATCTTTATCAACGACCTGTCATCCTAACTGCAGTCCGACTGCTTAATCTACGCGGATGATCTGAGGCTGTGGCTTGAGGTATCCAATCCGGAAGAGGCAGACAGACTTCAAGCGACACTCGATCTGCTCCACGCTTGGTCACTAAAGTTGCAGTTGCCCATTAACCGTGCCAAATGCGCTGTCCTTCCAATCGGTTCGCCTGAGGCTTTTGGGGGTTACAATTTCGGTGGTTTCTTGCTCAGAAAGGTCAACCAAGAGAGGGATCTCGGGGTGATTGTCTCCTGATCTCAAATCAATCGAGGACACCCGGAAGAGAGTCGCATCCGCCTACAGAATACTTCGCGCTATACGGAGAGCCTTTTAACGCCTTACCACGGCACTCTTCAGAATCCTGTTTGCTTCGCATGTGCGCCCAGTTCTCGAGTACGGATTGCCTGCTGCGTATCCTCTCACAAAGTCCGAACGTGACATGATCGTAAAGGTTCAACAGCGTGGATCCTACTCCATTCTATAGTTGCGCGACTTATCTGCGTACTGTGAGTTCGACGCGGCAACTCGATTTTTTGGCGTGTCATACTGAGCGAGTTTTCTAGCTGAAATATTGTGGAAAATGGTGTTTGATTAACCACTTGAAGCGAAATTTGAATATTGTCAAATGTTCTCTGGTTCAAGATTTCTTGGATCGATTAAAGTGCTACTGGACATAGCGTCTCCTTGACTCTTACTTGTAAATTTTGCGGTTGTTCCCCTTTTTAATCCCGTTTCACACCCTGGTTTTCCTTTTTGTGGTCATTTTACTATCGTACACGGGATTTTATATACTGCTGTGTTTTCCACCTTACACGTGGTCGTCTCGCTAAAAACCGAGGCGGATGAAATCTTTGGGCCCTCGATTGATGAGTCCAATGCAGGTTGCGGCAATTCTGCCGGTTCTAGGATGGTGGTATGCAGTGTGATGTTTGCTTCCGCTGGTATCGCAAAGGTTGCACTGGCTTCCGAACGAATCAGTACAATATGCCATCATCCAGTGAAAACCTTCTGTTTAGATGTGCTGGTTGTTGCACTCAGAAAGCGAAGTGCTCGGTTATCATCTGTGCTGAATTTAAGGCACTGGCATCCAGGTTCACAGTGGTTGAGAAGACGTTAGTCGGGCTTGCCCCGCTCAACTCCAAAGTGGGGTTGATTATGAATTACCTGAGTATTGCAAATGAGGACCCTGTAGCGGACTGTCCCCCAGCTGACAGTCCATCCCTTGATGGGTCGTTCATCTTGTAGGACGCTCCAGTACACATTGAGATAACGGACTCATATGCCTCGGGCGGCAATGTTGACCCTCCACAAATGGATAGGGAGTCACGGGCTCCTAGGCCAGAAAGGAATAGGCGCAAGAGAGCAAGGAAAGTACGCAAATCCTACGCACCCAATCCGAGAGGTGAGAAGTCGCTCAAGATGCAATCTCCTGAGCGGGAAACACCACCTGGTGATGAAATTCCCTCGGTTTCGACTAAGGTTGTTCATACAGGGGGTGAAAAACCCCCACGTGTCCACATCGCTTGCTACTCAAACTGCGGTGCCTACTCCAACCACATCCTGTCTTCCGGCGGTACGGTTCGTGGAGGCGGACATGGAGGCTGAGCAACGGGCTTCTACGCCTGCAGGACGAAAGCAAAATCGGAACAGAACTGTCCATACTCTTCAGGCAGGTATGAAAAGCGTCAGGGAAGACGGGACAAACAAGCTGGAGCGCAAGACGTACGCTACAATGGCTTCACCGTCGTCTGATATCTTTCGCTCAGTCTCATTGCCTGCGGCTAAGCCGGTTGCTGTTCATGTAAATTCCAAAACCCGCGGTGTAAATAAACCCGGTCGAGGTGATTCTTTCATGGATAGCAGCGTGCTATTCCGTAACGCAGTGAAATCCACTACTGCACTTCCTGGCGAACGTACATTGGACGACCTACAGTGGTTTAAGAGGTGCGTAACGAAGCTTCTTCCGCTGGGTTTCCCGGCGTCACTGTCAGGAAACTGACTAGATTGAGTAACGTCCCAGTTAACGCCCCAAACACTCGATCGCGCTTGCTTCCGGTAGTCCTATCCACCCCGGAGGAAAGCAACGAGCTGTTGCGGTTTGCCTTCAAAATGAAGGGTACTAATGTTAGCGTTCAGCCAGACCTCCCATTAGCGTATAGGCTGAAGCTAAAAGAGGCCATTAAGGACCTCAAAATCAGACGAGCGGCCGGCGAACAAGGTCTCCGGTTGGTGGCTTTTCGGGTGGTCAGCCGGTGATCTGTTTCCGCCATACCAGTGCCAGTACTGGTAGCGCACGACCCACGGTTGGACATTACGAGTACCTTCAGATAGTGCTAAGCAATGGGAGGAGACTAAGAAATAAGCTGTGCGAGATTGGTCTGCTTGTAGATGGGTAGCATCCCGACATACTCTCATACAGAAACGCGGCTGTCTCAGGACATCACGGAAGGTGCATTAAACCTGTCTGGCTCCGCATTATTTATATGTGGTCACTTCGTTGGCCGACAAGGCGGGGGCATTGCGATTTAGGTTAGGTTTGAACTTCACGTTTCACGTGTCTACATGTTTTAGTCGGCACATAAAACTGTCGAAGCTCCGTTGGTAGTGCTTAACACTTCCCCGGTTCGACTTACGGTTGTGTTTGCGCATAGAAGCCCTATGAGTGCTTCCAAAGAGGTGCTTGACTTTATTCGCTCCCAAACAGCAAACAGGTGTTTGCTACTGAGGGATGTCAGGCTACCAGAGGTTTGCCGGGTAGATCTTTCTTGCAACCCGGCGGAAGGTACTTTCGGTGCAGAGCTACTTGAGCTTACACTACAACTACCGTTGCGTCAGTTTGTGGACCTCCCCACTAGGTGCATGGATGCCCAACTCCCGTCTATCTTGGATCTATTGTTTGCCAAGTCACTAGGCTTCGTAGATGACATCACTTGCAGCTCTCCCATATGTGCCAGTGATCATGTTTGTTTATCGTTCAGGTGTAGTCTGACCAGGCGTCACCAGAGAATTGCTAAGCTATTTCCAAACATATGGCGTGCTAACGATCAGGCAATGCGTAGCAAGGCTTTTGGGTTGCGTTGCGAAATCTCGGTGGTTGATACGGTACAGGTGGTCCGGGATAAAGTTAAATCTTACCTCACGGAAGTGTCTACTCCCTACATCCCGCTTGCGAGGAGAAAGGTGACACGAACGCGACCGCCGCGGATAGATACCACTGGCAAGTACCTGCTCCAGAAGTGTTCTACTTGCTGGAGACCTACCATGCAGCTCCATCAACTTACACCTATGCTAGATACCGCGAGGCTAGAAATAGGTGTAAACAACACATAAGGAAAGCTTGGCTGTTGTACGAAAAGGAATTGGCTGATGGAGATTCGGAAAAGCCGAAGAAGTTCTTCGCTTACGTTAAGAGGCACTGTGGTTCAACTTCGGTAACCCCAACTTTGATGCGGGCCGATGGAACTCGTGGCTATGCAGACTCAGATAATGCTTGTGTACTTGGGGGCAGTATGCAGGGGCTTTTGTACGTGAGACCGTGTTGCCTAGCGTTGAACTTTTCCCCAGTGAATCTGAGGGTTCTTACTTAGCTGAGTTTACTGTGGTGGAAACGCAAGTCCTTAAACTGCTGCAAGAACTGAACCCTACCAAAGCAGCTGGACCTGATTCAATTCACCCGAAGCTTCTGCATGAGTTGGCGGTCGAACTAAGTGGACCGATGACGATGGGGTTTCAGAAGTCACCTGACAACTGTACATTAACTTCTGAATTGAAGGAGGCTGTCGTCTGTCCTATCTTTAGAGGTGACGACAGGAGTCTGTCAGCCAATTATAGGCCAGTCAGTCTGGCCAGCGTCTTGGTCAAACTGCTTGAAAAGCTGGTGAGAGCTTCGTTGGAGGGTCACCTGAATAGATTTAATCTACTCAGTAGTGCACAACATGGATTCCGGAAGAGGTTTCTGTGTCTGACGAATTGGTTTGGCCGAGGCAATGAACAATGGCCACGTAATGGATGTGCTTTTCGTAGACTTCTCGAAAGCATTTGATAGGGTACCCACTTTTGGCTATCACAATAGCTGAGCTCCTACGGCGTATCTGGCCGCGCCTTTCACTGGGTATCTGCGGTCTTGCAGGAAAAAGAGCAGTGTGTACTATGGGTCGCAGCTTATCCTTTAGACAAGCAGTCATTAGCGGTGTCCTACAGGGCTGGTGCCTGGGACCGATGCTGTTCTCTATCTACCTAAACGATCTCCCTGGAGAGCTTGTGGTATCATCCCTATTGTTTTCTGATGACCTTAAGCTATGTAAGGTTGTAAATGTTCCTGGGGGTCATGAGGCCATACAGCATGCCCTGGACAGACTCTGTGACTGGTCTACTTTGTGGTTACTGCCCATAAATCAGGCTGTGTTCCGTCCTTCATATAGGAGCAACTTTCCCACCTTCGAGCTACGTACTCGGTGGGGTCGAACGCGCCCCTTGTCTCCAACCAGGTAGACCTAGGTGTCGTCCATTCCTCGTCTTTGCATTCTGGTGACAACTGGAAGAATGCCGCAAGCAGGAGTTTCAGAATGTTGTGATTGATACGCCGTTCTTTCGGGGTCTTAACTGCCGACATAGTTGGGAAGCTGTTCTCAGCTCTCGTTCGGATCCAGCTGGAATACTGCGTCCAGGCTTGCCCGCCCTGCCTTGTTCGG